CTAAAATAGGCCTATGCCTATTGCAATATTAAAAAATGCAATTACTGCAAAAACACAAGGGAGACAAAGAAAACTACAACCTGTCTTTAGTTAGGCTGTTCACTCAATATTGGCAGTTGAGAATTTTGATAGCCTATCTTAATGCAGGTTGTTTTCTGCATAGAAAAGTATTGGGCGGGCCACCTAAGTGTTTTTTCGGGCTGCCTATGTCCAAACAGCAAAAAATAAAGTGTGTGTGTGTGTGGAAACGTTTTCAGTGTAAACTTGAATGACTAAAACCAGATATAAAGTATGTAGAATAGATAATGGACCCATATATTTTTCAATAAGATCATCTTTGAGAACTAACAATCACCTAAAGAAAACCTAGACAGTCAAGGAGAATCTAAGATTATGCATTCAGAAGTATCTTTGTCATGGCATGGGGCACCCATTGATTTTGTTAATGTTTGAGTCAGTCAGATAGCATAAACCATGGCCAAATGTGTACAATTGCTGGAAATTTGCTTTAAAGCGGCAACATTTCATCTCCACCACATGGCAAAATGTGTATAATTGCAGGAAATTTGCTTTAAAACAGCTACATTTTGTCAGCCCTCAAATGTTCGGTCGACCACGCCCATGGCCACGCCTACCTCCTAAACCCCATTTTGATCCAGAATTCCCCCAGTTATTGGCACTATAGTGGAGAGAGTCAGCCATATTCTAGGTGAGTTCGTATATTCACTGTCTTTATCATTGGAGTCCGTGCTCCTGGAAAGTTTTCTTTTAGGACAATAATTTCATCCTCCAGGCTAGCTGGACATCATAGCCTACAATATGTTTCCCCTTTTCATAGGCATCGATTAGATGGTTGCATTCAATACAAGGTCGTTTTTAAATTATTTCAGTTTGTCAGTAGAGTTGCTTATTATGTAATTGTTGTGGTATTAAAGACTCTATTGTCTCTAGTCATGGAGAATAAAGCGTTGTAGAATTGCATGACATTTGTTTATAAAAGGGCACGTTTTTCTCGGATCCTCCTTGAAAATGTCCCTCTAGCTAGGGCTGAGCTCTGCATGTGTGCAAAGAACGAAGAAAAGCTTAATTGTCTTTTGTGAACGTGAGCATATTATTAGCCTAATTTATGACGATCCAACCTACTCATCGCATCAGGATTAGTAGGTCGTTTTAAATTAGCCTGCAAATTCGATGATGGATACATGCAATAATTTATCATAAAGGTGATTTATTTCGTGTTTTTTTTATATATATTTTTTAACTTCCCCAAAGTTGAAATTCACGTGCCACTTATGATTAGCTAGTTAGCTGAATGTTAACGTCAGTTACCAGCTGAACCATAACTAAATGGCTTTTAAGTTACAACATTAGCATAAATAATGTAAGTACAATGTAGGCTAATCTAATTACAAAAGTAATTATTTATACCTTCCTTATAACTGTAAAATACATATTTGTATGATTAGTCTTAGAGAAAATGTATCTTGATCAAAACTCCTGCCCAACCCTTCTGAACGTCAAACAGGGGTTTAGCTTGGCTTTCTGAACATGTTAGGACTGGCCTTTCAGATCATATTAATATTGTCCGTCTATGAATAATCGAAAGTATTTTTTGTAAAAAATCTATTAATTATTTTAGGTTACTTTGATAAAGTTGCCTATAAATCGATCTCTGAATGTGGTAGAGCGACGAAACCATGTTGCTTCGCTAGGATCTAAGGATTGCAGGCATGTGCATTGTTAGTGGCTGTGACCTAGGGTGCATTCCTTTGCCCAGGCGTTGTTGTCGCCTGCCAGATCTTACAACGCCTGGATAGGTTAAATACCTATCAGCTAATCACATCATATGTTATGACAATCTGTCAGTCTATGACACAGTTAATGACTTAGCACGCAACCATTGGTTGACGCGTGCAACGTCTGAGCAGGGGAACGCGACCATAGCGTTTAGCCAGGAGTTGATGGACAGTTGGAAGAGCGACTGAAATGGTATGCGAAACATCCCAGCTTCAAGTGGTGTCAGATTTCACAGCCCGCGTCACACAGGCGAAAGAAAAATACCAGAGGGGGAGAGGCGAAGTTAAAGCGTCCACTCCCGTCAAATTCGGTCTGCTTAAAAACTGCCTGCCTTCCCGCTTTTGGGACAATGACTCCCATTTGATAGGGCGGAGACAAGACCATCTCGACATTATATACAATATCTCTGGATATATGGTGCTATATATGAAACATTGATTTAAAACAAGGTCAAATCATGATGTCAGTGACCTTCAGGTCGGAAAGTCAGATCTCTAGAAAGATGCCTGAGTTTCCGACTTGGAATTCCGAGTTGGATGACTGTTCAAAAAAATGTTCCCAGTCAGAGCTAGTTTTCTTCAGAGTTCCCAGTTGTCTTGAACGCATTGAAGTCGGATATTTCCGAGATCCCAGTTTTTTTTAACGCGACAATAATACCGAATCCGTGAGAACTGGGGCAATCGCTATATCCAAGGCATTCCGATCTACGGTGTCCACATTTCGATTTATAAGCGCAAATGTCGGTCGGCACAAGAACCATACTAGTCATCTCTTTAGGGGACTTTACATCCAATTAAAGTGGACTTAGAACAAACCAGGCTTCATTTTATCAATATCATGTAGCCTAAATCATTCGGCTACGTGAGATGAAAGCAAATTGCGTCTAAAAATGTTGTTTAATTCACTGGGGAGTTGAACCTGCTTGCCGACGCCATTGCATTGAAAGGACTGTTCTGACTGCTTCTGAGATTCCGTTACAGCAACAGTTTGTTTTGTAACAGGCTATTACTGCAATTTCAGGTAAACTCGGTAAAACAAGTTTCAAATGTATAGACAGTTTCCATTTACACTGAACAAAAATATAAACGCAACATGCAACAATTTCTAAGATTTTACTGAGTTACAGTTCATATAAGGAAAATTGAAATAAATTCATTAGGCCCTAATCTATGGATTTCACATGACTGGGAATACAGATATGCATCTGTTGGTCACAGATACCTTTTTTTTTTAAAGGTAGGGGCGTGGATCAGAAAACCAGTCAGTATCTGACCACCTTTTGCCTCATGCAGCGGGATCAGAAAACCAGTCAGTGTCTGACCACCTTTTGCCTCATGCAGCGCAACACATCTCCTTTGCATGGAGTTGATTAGACTGTTGATTGTGAAATGTTGTCCCACTCCTCTTCAATGGCTGTGTGAAGTTGCTGGATATTGGCGGGAACCGGCACACACTGTTGTACCCGTCGACCCAAAGCATTCCAAACATGCTCAATGGATGACATGTCTGGTGAGTATGCAGGCCATGGAAGAACTGGGACATTTTCAGCTTCCAGGAATTGTGTACAGATCGATGGGGCCGTGCATTATCATGCTGAAACATGAGGATCTCGTCATGGTATCTCTGTGCATTCAAATTACTATCGATAAAATGCAATTGTGTTCGTTGTCCGTAGCTTATGCCTGCCCATACCATAACCCCACCGCCACCATGGGGCACTCTGTTCACAACGTTGTCATCAGCAAACCACTCGCCCACACACGCTGTCTGCCATCTGCCCGGTACAGTTGAAACCTGGATTAATCCTTGAAGAGCACACTTCTACAGCGTGCCGGTGGCCATCGAAGGTGAATATTTGCCCACTGAAGATGGTTATGATGCCGAACTACAGTCCGGTCAAGACCCTGGTAAGGACGACAAGCACACCGATGAGCTTCCCTGAGACGGTTTCTGACAATTTGTGCAGAAATTATTTGGTTGTGAAAACCCAGTTTCATCAGCTGTCCGGGTGGCTGGTCTCAGACGATCCCGCAGGTGAAGAAGCCTGATGTGGAGGGCTGGCTTGATTACACATGGTCTGCTGTTGTGAGGCCAGTTGGATGTACTGCCAAATTCTTTAGAAGGACGTTGGATGTGGCTTATGGTAGAGACATTAACATTCAATTCTCTGGCAACAGCTCTGGTGGACATTCCTGCAGTCAGCATGCCAATTGCACTCTCCCTCAACTTGAGACATCTGTGGCATTGTGTTGTGTGACAAAACTGCACATTTTAGAGTGGCCTTTTATTGTCCCCAGCAGAAGGTGCACCTGTGTAATGATCATCCTATTTAATCAGCTTCTTGATATGCCACACCTGTCCGGTGGATGGATTATCTTGGCAAAGGAGAAATGCTCACTAACAGGGATGTAAACAAACTTGTGGCCAACATTTGAGAGCGAAGCTTTTTGTGCGTCTGGAAAATTTCTGAGATCTTTTATTTCAGCTTATGAAATATGGGACCAACACTTTACATGTAGCGTTTTATATTTTTGTTCGGTATAGTTCAGCTGTTTTAAAAAGATTGCTGTTAAGATTTTGGGTGCCTTCCTCTGCCCAGGTGTTGCTGATGCAGGCCAGAGCTTACAACCCCTGGATAGGTATTTTAAGTATCAGTTAAGCACATCATATGTCATAGAAATCTGTCAGTCGATGACGTTGCATGCATCAACTAATGGTTGCGTGCCACGTCTGAGCAACGCAACCAATTACTGTAGGAGCATTTGGCATGAAGAGACTGGTCGCGTTCCCCTGCTCAGATGTTACATGCATCCACCAATGGTTGTGTGCTACGTCATCGATTGTGTCAATCACTGACAGATTGTTATAACATATGATGTGGTTAGCTGATACAATGCCTGGATAGGTATTTTAAGTAAGATCTGACATGAGTCCAACATCTGGGCAGAGGAACATGCCCAATTATACATTTTACTGCTCGGCTGGGAGCAAGTCTAGGGGCAGTCTCGCACACTACCTACTAGGTAAGGTGACGCACGAGATTTGCATCTTTATACTACAATTATGTGTATATGCAAAAAAAAAAAAATAATGGCTCTCGTAAACATATGTAGTGTAAATGACCCCTTAGAAATGTGTGATGTCAAGGGATGCATTTGCTCAATTGTTTATGTTTGGTCTTATTTGCAGACTGGTTTTAAGTCATGAGTCACCTACCTAGATTCTGGAACCTGGGATGGTCTTCCTTTCTTGACTGGTGGAGTAATCGGAGTATTGTTTCAGAGCAAGGTGATTTGGAATGTTTGTGTGTTATCTGATGGGAGGAGGGAGCACTTTCCAGGTTTCTCAACCTGAGACTAGATATCTACAATACCATGAATTGGTATTGTATAAAGATCTCAACCATGCAAATAACTTTGTTGGTAATTCTAATTATTGACTTAAACTACTGACTCAACAATGCAGTATCATCAAACACTATTCAACCCACTCTCCTTTTTCCTCATTGGACTACAGGACCTTCTCCCCCCTATGGTCAGCAGAACATGAATGAACCTCTTCTGGACCACAGAGAGGGCCAGCTCTTCCTGACCGAGGCTTTTAAAGTCATCCTTGAGGAGGTGCTATGTAAGGGCACAGACGTCAAAGAGAAGGTCTCACATTCCTACATCAAACTGTTGACTGTCTAATCTCTAGCCTAACATGCCTGTTCTCTGCATTTTGCCATATAGAGTGCCTTCAGAAAGTATTCATACCCTTTGACTTATTCCACATTTTGTTGTTACAGCCTGAATTCATAATGGATTCAATATTTTATTTATCACCCATCTACCCACAATACCCCATAATGACAGTGAAAACTAGTTTTTAGAAATTGTTGCAAATTAATTGAAAAGGAAATACAGAAATATTTAATTTGTATAAGTGTTCACACCCCTAAGTCAATACTTTGTAGAAGCACCTACAGCTGTGAGTCTTTTTGGGTAAGTCTCTAAGAGCTTTGCACACCTGGATTGTACAATATTTGCACTTTATTCTTAAAATAATTCTTCAAGCTCTGTCAAGTTGATTGTTGATAATTGCCAAAACTGTAACTAGGCCACTCAGGAACATTCCATGTCTCGGTAAGCAACTCCAGTGTAGAGTTGGCCTTGTGTTTTAAGGTTATTGTCCTGCTCAACGGCGAATTAGTCTTCCAGTGTGTGTTGGAAAGCAGACTGAACCAGGGTTTTCACTAGGATTTTGCCAGTGCTTATAGCTTTGTTCCGTTTCTTTTTATCCTGAACTCCTTAGTCCTTGCCGATGACAAGCATACCTATAACATGATGCAGCCATTTTCATGCTTGAAAATATGAATAGTGGTACTCAGTGATGTGTTGTGTTGGATTTGCCCCAAACACAATGCTTTGTATTCAGGACAAAAAGTTCATTTCTTTGCCATTTTTTTATAGTGTTACTTAAGTGCCTTAAGGGTGCATGTTTTGGAATAGTTTTTATTCTGTACAGGCTTCCTTCTTTTCACTCTGTCATTTACAGTGCCTTGCAAAAGTATTCATCCCCCTTGGCGTTTTTTCCTATTTTGTTGCATTACAACCTGTAACTTAAATGGATTTTTATTTGGATTTCATGTAATAGACATACACAAAATAGTTGAATTTGATGAAGTGAAATGAAAAAAAATTACTTGTTTCAAAAAATAAATAACGGAAAGGTGGTGTGTGCATATGTATTCACCCCCTTTGCTATGAAGCCCCTAAATAAGATCTGGTGCAACCAATTACCTTCAGAAGTCATATAATTAGTTAGATTGCACACAGGTGAACTTTATTTAAGTGTCACATGATCTCAGTGTGTATATATACACCTGTTCTGAAAGGCCGCAGAGTCTGCAACACCACTAAGCAAGGGGCACCACCAAGCAAGCGGCACCATGAAGACCAAGGAGCTCTCCAAACAGGTCAGGGACAAAGTTGTGTAGAAGTACAAATCAGGGTTGGGTTATAAAAAAATATCCCAAACTTTGAACATCCCACGGAGCACCATTTTTAATCCATTATAAAAAAAATTAAAGAATATGGCACCACAACAAACCTGCCAAGAGAGGGCCGCCCACCAAAACTCACGGACCAGGCAAGGAGGGCATTAATCAGAGAAGCAACAAAGAGACCAAAGATAACCCTGAAGGAGCTGAAAATCTCCACAGCGGAAATTGGAGTATCTGTCCATAGGACCACTTTAAGCCGTACACTCCACAAAGCTGGGCTTTATGGAAGAGTGGCCAGAAAAAAGCCATTGCTTAAAGAAAAAAATAAGCAAACCCGTTTGGTGTTCGCCAAAAGGCATGTGGGAGACTCCCCAAACATATGGAAGAAGGTACTCTGGTCAGATGAGACTAAAATTTAGCTTTTTGGCCATTAAGGAAAATGCTATGTCTAGCACAAACCCAACTCCTCTCATCACCCCGAGAACACCATCCCCACAGTGAAGCATGGCAGCATCATGCTGTGGGGATGTTTTTCATCGGCAGGGACTGGGAAACTGGTCAGAATTGAAGGAATGATGGATGGCGCTAAATACAGGGAAATTCTTGAGGGAAACCTGTTTCAGTCTTCCAGAGATTTGAGACTGGGACGGAGGTTCACCTTCCAGCAGGACAATGACCCTAAGCATATTGCTAAAGCAACACTCGAGTGGTTTAAGGGGAATCATTTAAATGTCTTGGAATGGCCTAGTCAAAGCCCAGACCTCAATCCAATTGAGAATCTGTGGTATGACTTAAAGATTGCTGTACACCAGCGGAACCCATCCAACTTGAAGGAGCTGGAGCAGTTTTGCCTTGAAGAATGGGCAGAAATCTCAGTGGCTAGATGTGCCAAGCTTATAGAGACATACCCCAAGAGACTTGCAGCTGTAATTGCTGCAAAAGGTGGCTCTACAACGTATTGACTTTGGGGGGTGAATAGTTATGCACGCTCAAGTTTTCTGTTTTTTTGTCTTATTTCTTGTTTGTTTCACAATAAAAATGTTGTATAAATCGAATGATACAAACCCCCCAAAAAATCAATTTTAATTCCAGGTTGTAAGGCAACAAAATAGGAAAAATGCCAAGGGGGGTGAACATTTTCGCAAGTATTGTGGAGAAACTACAATGTTATTGATCCATCCTCAGGTTTCTCATATCACAACCATTAAACTCTGTAACTGTTTTAACATCACCATTGGCCTCATGGTGAAATCCCTGAGCAGTTTCCTTCCTCTCCGGCAACTGAGTTAGGAAGGACGCCTGTGTCTTTGTAGTGACTGGGTGTATTGATAAACCATCCAAAGTGTAATTAATTACTTCACCATGCTCAAAGGGATATTCAGCGTCTCTATTTATTTTTACACCGCTACCAATCGGTGCCCTTTGTGAGGCATTGAAAAACCTCCCTGGTCTGTTGTTGAATCTGTGCTTGAAATCCACTACTCAATTGAGGGACCTTACAATTATCTATATGTGTGGGCTACAGCGACGGGGTAGTCATTCAAAAATCATCATGTTAACCATTATTATTGAACACTGAATGAGTCCATGCAACTTATTATGCGATTTGTTATGCACATTTCTACTCCTGAACTTATTTAGGCTTGCCAGAACAAAGGGGTTGAATACTTATTTACTCAAGACTTTTCAGCTTACACAACAAAATGTGGAAAAAGTTGAGGGTGTAAATACTTTCTGAAGGCACTGTATTGTGATGTTTTTTGCTGCACAAGCCTTTTGGTAAGTCCTGAGTGACATACCTGTCCGGTGGGTCATATAGCTAAAATGTTTAGGAACCACTGGGCTAGTACCGTTATGGGCAATTCCACGATAAGTGACACTAAGACTCAGAGTTTTCACATTTTTAAATGTATGGCAAACAAAAACCAATGATTGCAAAGTTAACCAAACCATACAACTCTATGCACAATGACTACTTTTAACAATTTCCACAGAATTGTACAAAAACACATTTACTTGAAGAATGCAGATGCAAAGTTTGGTAAAGAAAGACGTTTTGTGCCATCTTTGCAATCAATGTTAATTTTTTGACATTCTTTTATTTTTTTTTGTCAGTTAGTGAGTGCATACATTTTTTAAAGTAAAAAATCAGAATCTGTGTCACTCTTACCGTGGAATTGCCTGTATGTTAACTGAAATCTTCTTCACACCTGACTGTGTGCATCAAACACAATCAAACCATGGAGGTACACACTACTCAGTGCTGTATTTTCAGGGGTTTCTTGTGCTTGTTATACCCTTGGTTACAGGTGTGTGAGTGGCGCGAGCCAGAGGAGTTAGCTGCTCTGCTAGATCTGGAGCTGCGAGAGAATGGGGAGCCGCAACACCAGCTCCTGCAGAGAGTACGCGATGTGGCCAAGTACAGTGTCAAGACCAGTAAGTCCCCATCCCTAGCTCTGTCCAGGTTGTTAGGCGGTTTGCTGCTAGCCGCACTAAAGCCCTGGACCAGAGCTACCCCGACCCCACAGGGAAACATTAGACTGAGCGAGATGAGTGTGGTTCTGGTTACATTAGATTCTTGGTAAATGCTATCGCTTGGGACTGTCCTGAATGCATGCACTACAGTAAAGAGCATATATTTTCAGATCATCCGCGGTTCTTCAATCAGCTCTTTGCAGGGGTGGACTACCATGCCTTGACAGGACGATTCCTTACGGAGGCTCTTAACACTAGCCAGTAGGAGAAAGCAATATCTATTTATATGCACATATTCATACCATAAAGTATGTTTTGGTATGAAGAGGCTTGTGATGGACTGTTCTTTTACAGGTATACCTATGAGGTAGCTCCAGTGTTTGTCCTGATGGAAGACGAGGTACTCTCCAAACTACGTTCTCTAGTTGGGTGGGCAGAGGGAGATGGCATCTTCTGCCCAGGCGGTACTATGTCCAACATGTATGCCATGAACCTAGCACGCTACCGGGCCTTCCCAGAAGTAAAACTAAAGGGACTGTGGGCCCTCCCTCGACTGGCTGTCTTTACATCTCAACAGGTGGGGAAAACTGACAGTATGGTAGAAGTAATACACTATTCAATTTCCCATTCATTCATTATACCCAAACTTTCCTCCAGAGCCACTACTCTGTGATGAAAGCAGCTGCATTTCAGGGTATTGGGACAGAGAACGTGTTTAAGGTCAAAGTTGATGATAGGTAAAGTGATCAGAACCTTTCTTTGTGAATCTTGTCCAGTCATCTCATTATCATTCTTAGGCATACATGATTTACAGATTTTAACACGTGCTCTCTGTTGTCCTACAGGGGTTGCATGATTCCAGAAGACCTTGGTGAGAAAATTGAGCTGGCGAAATCTCAAGCAAGTTTACTGTGTTTACCTTTTAATTTACTGTGTAAATTCTATTTTATGTGCTGTGATATACAGTATTTATACCGATAACAGTAGGAATAATAGCCAATAGACTATTGGAATTGCTGATAGACAATCAGTGATATCTTGCACAAGAATCTGATGAATTCCTAATACTCTATTAGCATTCCAAATATTGTATATGCAATTCCTAGTAGTCTATCGGCAAAGCACATACAGTGAGGGAAAAAAGTATTTGATCCCCTGCTGATTTTGTACGTTTGCCCACTGACAAAGACATGATCAGTCTATAATTTTAATGGTAGGTTTATTTGAACAGTGAGAGACAGAATAACTAAAACAAAATCCAGAAAAACGCATGTCAAAAATGTTATGAATTGATTTGCATTTTAATGAGGGAAATAAATATTTGACCCCCTCTCAATCAGAAAGATTTCTGGCTCCCAGGTGTCTTTTATACAGGTAACGAGCTGAAATTAGGAGCACACTCTTAAAGGGAGTGCTCCTAATCTCAGTTTGTTACCTGTATAAAAGACACCTGTCCACAGAAGCAATCAATCAGATTCCAAACTCTCCACCATGGCCAAGACCAAAGAGCTCTCCAAGGATGTCAGGGACAAGATTGTAGACCTACACAAGGCTGGAATGGGCTACAAGACCATCGCCAAGCAGCTTGGTGAGAAGGTGACAACAGTTGGTGCGATTATTCGCAAATGGAAGAAACACAAAAGACCTGTCGATCTCCCTCGGCCTGGGGCTCCATGCAAGATCTCACCTCGTGGAGTTGCAATGATCATGAGAACGGTGAGGAATCAACCCAGAACTACACGGGAGGATCTTGTGAATGATCTCAAGGCAGCTGGGACCATAGTCACCAAGAAAACAATTGGTAACACACTACGCCGTGAAGGACTGAAATCCTGCAGCGCCCGCAAGGTCCCCCTGTTCAAGAAAGCACATATACAGGGCCGTCTGAAGTTTGCCAATGAGCATCTGAATGATTCAGAGGAGAACTGGGTGAAAGTGGTGGTCAGATGAGACCAAAATCGAGCTCTTTGACATCAACTCGCCGAGTTTGGAGGAGGAGGAATGCTGCCTATGACCCCAAGAACACCATCCCCCACCGTCAAACATGGAGGTGGAAACATTATGCTTTGGGGGTGTTTTACTGCTAAGGGGACAGGACAACTTCACCGCATCAAAGGGACGATGGATGGGGCAAAGTACCGTCAAATCTTGGGTGAGAACCTCCTTCCCTCAGCCAGGGCAGTGAACATGGGTCGTGGATGGGTATTCCAGCATGACAATGACCCAAAACACACGGCCAAGGCAACAAAGGAGTGGCTCAAGAAGAAGCACATTAAGGTCCTGGAGTGGCCTAGCCAGTCTCCAGACCTTAATCCCATAGAAAATCTGTGGAGGGAGCTGAAGGTTCGAGTTGCCAAACGTCAGCCTAGAAACCTTAATGACTTGGAGAAGATCTGCAAAGAGGAGTGGAACAAAATCCCTCCTGAGATTTGTGCAAACCTGGTGGCCAACTACAAGAAACGTCTGACCTCGGTGGCAAAACCCTTGTCATGTTTTGCAGAGGGGTCAAATACTTATTTCACTCATTAAAATGCAAATAAATTTATAACATTTTTGACATGCGTTTTTCTGAATTGTTTTGTTGTTCTGTCTCTCACTGTTCAAATAAACCTACCATTAAAATGATAGACTGATCATGTCTTTGTCAGTGGGAAAACATACAAAATCAGCAGGGGATCAAATACTTTTTTCCCTCACTGTATCATACTATGAGGCACCAAGTAGAGATGCAAGGGCATCTTTCATTACCCCTCTTCACCTACCAGGGGGCAGTGCCATTCTTTGTCCATGCCACATCAGGAACGACTGTACAGGGCGCCTTTGACCCACTGGAGCCCATCGCTGACATCTGTGACAGACAGGGGTTGTGGATGCATGTTGATGTGAGTTCTTTTTTAAAGTGATCTTTCACTCCAGAATCAAACTTTGTCCAATGTTTTCAGACCACAAAAGTAGTCTTCTGTCAAGATGATGCCCAACAACATCTAACATGTTGATCAAAACTTCATACACCATTCCCAAAATAATGTAAAAGATAGCCACTGTCTAATTTAAATCCTTTTCAACAGTGGCAATCTTTCCCATTTATTTTGAGCTGAAGAATACAGATGTAGGATCTTAATTTGAGCCAGTTTGCTATAGCAGGAAAAAAAATCCTGCAGGAACAAGAAATGTGAATGATTTTGATTAAAATTAATGGACATTTTTGAAGGGGTTGATGCATTTTTCATAAGGGCAAATCAAGTCTGAAATTTCAAAGTTGAAATTATGAATTTCAGAAGCCTTTTCAACCTCAAATACACTATGTAAGATTCCTGCATTGCACGAAAGTTCTTCTGCAACAGGGTAATCAAATTAAGATCCTACATCTGTACTGACTGGTGTTCTCTTGTGGTTTGGCACAGGCAGCCTGGGGAGGGAGTGTTCTCTTCTCAAAGGAACACAAACATCTCATGAGAGGAGTTGAGAGGTAGGAGTGCATGCTCAGAATACAGTTGCTGGAATTCAATTGTACACAAAACATCTAAATGTGCTGCAAAGAACAAAGCTTTGAAATTGAATTCAGCCTGTGTGCTAGTGTACCAAAGTATAGATTAGGTGTCTTGATGTCTCGCATGACTGGGTTAGCCTTCTGAATGGCTCAACATATGACTGACTCAAGTGTAATGATATGTTTGTGAACAGAGCCGATTCAGTGACTTGGAATCCACACAAGATGATGCTGACGGGCTTGCAGTGTTCAGCCATTCTGCTCAAGGACACCACGGTAAGACACCCCTTCACCAGATTCCAGACCAAAGGGTTGTTCTTGAGTTGCGGTGGCATTTGCGTCCCTTGCCTTTGCAGCCATAAAAATCACTTTAAAATGACAAATAGTTACACATCATACGTGTTTTTGTTTATATTGAACTGTTTGTCAATGATAAAATGTAATTCAAGTCCTTAATACTTCAAAATGTTATGTTTATGCATTGTTTAAAGGGATATTTGGGCAATTAAGCCGTTTTGTTCTACTTACCCATAGTCAGATTAACTCCTGGATACAATTTTTATGTCGCCGTGCAGTTTGGAGTAAAACGTATTGGCTGCGCATCAGACTTTTCTTGACCCATATTCCCAGGGGCTAATGGTCTCGACACGTCTGCACATGTGCGGGATTCTCTACTTGCGCACAGTCTCTGCTCTACTTGTACGGAACAGGCTACTCTGAATGGTGCTTGTTTTAATAAAGTTAGAGCAAAGCTGAATCAATGTCTGCAAGACCACATAACAGAACCAAATATAAAAGCATAGTATAATGTTACTGTAAAAAAGAAATTGTTTAAATGGTATGAGATTTTAGGATGATCGAATGGTGGCATTTTTCTCTGACGTGTGCGCCACTAGGCAAAATGTAATTTTGATTGAAACAAAACACAGGTATGCTACAGTTTAATAATGCCATCAACTCTGAAATCAGCTCAATGTACATAATCGAAAAACTACATAACTAACATCAAATGCATATTCCCAAAAAACTGATTGAGATCAAATGGTTGGCAGGCAGATGCTGGTTGTTTCACCGGTAAAACTTGAAGAATTATCATTCACGATTGACAGTGAGAAATGTGAACATAGGGTGACTACAACAATTTGTGTGTAAAGTAGATGTAAAGAAACTAATGCGCAGAACATGATATGGTTCTTTCCAGGGTATCCAGGGGGCGGAACGGGGCGGTTACCTTTGGATCCGCAGCCTTTGCCATTGTTTGATAGTTAGACGTTTTGGCAACTAAGCCTTTTTTTCTATTTACCCAGGAGCGGCTGCTCTTGTAGACTTCCAGTCATTGCGCAATGGAAATTCAGATATGACGTCATTGTTTTAGCACTATCTACAGAGTTTTTAAACTACGGCGTGCGACATGGTTCAATGCACCAATAAATCAGCACAATATACTTTAGTTTTTTCTAATTGGCAGCGTCTTGGAGCTAAAATTGGGATCATGTATACTGTGCTACTGACGTTACATAAAAAGAGTAACAGAGAGCAATGTACAATACGGCAAACTTAGCTGACAAGGGATTTGTGGTAAGTGCATGGGGGCTGCCATTTTTATGCATCCCCTTTGCATAGAGTTGATCAGGCTGTTGATTTGTGGTCTGTGGAATGTGTCCCACTCTTCAATGGCTGTGCGAAGATGTTGGATATTGGCGGGAACTGGAACACGCGGTTGTACACGTCGATCCAGAGCATTCCAAACATGCTCAATGGGTACCATGTCTGGTGAGTATGCAGGCCATGGAAGAACTGGGACATTTTCAGCTTCCAGGAATTGTGTACAGATCCTTGCGACATGGGGCCGTGCATTATCATGCTGAAACGTGAGGTGATGGCGGCGGATGAAAGGCACGACAATGGGCCTCAGGATGTCTTCACGGTATCGCTGTGCGTTCAAATTGCCAGCGATTTAAAATGCAATTGTGTTCGTTGTCCATAACTTATGACTGCCCATACCATAACCCCACCGCCACCATGGGACACTCTGTTCACAACGTTGACATCAGCAAACCGCTCGCCCACACCACTCCATACATGTGGTCTGCAGTTGTGAGGCCGATTGGATGTACTGCCAAATTTTCTCAAATTACGTTGGAGGAGGCTTATGGTAGAGAAATTAACATTCTATTGTCTGGCAACAGCTCTAGTGGACATTCCTGCAGTCAGCATGCCAATTTTACGCTCCCTCCAAACTTGAGACATCTGTGGCATTGTGTTGTGTGACACAACTGCACATTTTAGTGGCCTTTTATTGTCCCCAGCACAAGGTGCACCTGTGTAATGATCATGCTGTTTAATCAGATTCTTGATATGCCACACTTGTCTGGTGGATGGATTATCTTGGCAATGGAGAAATGCTCACTAACAGGGATGGAACATTTCTGAGATCTTTTATTTCAGCTTATGGAACATGGGACTAACACTTTACATGTTGCGTTTATATTTTTGTTCAGTGTAGTTAGCAATGGCTCCAGAAACTACTTATTTTGTTTTTATTTACATACATACACTACCGGTCAAAACTTTTAGAACACCTACTCATTCAAGGGTTTTTCTTTATTTTTACTATTGTCTACATTGTAGAATAATAGTGAAGACATCAAAACTATGAAATAACACACATGGAATCATGTAGTAACCAAAAAGTGTTAAATAAATCCAAATATTTTATATTTGAGGTTCTTCAAATAGCCACCCTTTGCCTTGATGACAGCTTTGCACACTCTTGGCATTCTCTCAACCAGCTTCACCTGGAATGCTTTTCCAACAGTCTTGAAGGAGTTCCCACATATGCTGAGCACTTGTTGGCTGCTTTTCCTTCACTCTTCGGTCCGACTCATCCCAAACCATCTCAATTTGGTTGAGGTCGGGGGATTGTGGAGGCCAGGTCATCTGACGCAGCACTCATCACTCTCCTTCTTGGTAAAATAGCCCTTACACAGCCTGGAGGTGTGTTTGGTCATTGTCCTGTTGAAAAACAAATGATAGTCCCACTAAGCCCAAACCAGATGGGATGGCGTATCGCTGCAGAATGCTGTGGTAGCCGTGCTGATTAAGTGTGCCTTGAATTCTAAATAAATCACAGACAGTGTCACCAGCAAAGCACCATAACATCTCCTCGTCCATACTTTATGGTGGGAAATACACATGTGGAAATCATCCGTTCACCCACACCGCGTCTCACAAAGACAGCGGTTGGAACCAAAAATCTCCAATTTGGACTCATCAGACCAAAGGACAGATTTCCACCGGTCTAATGTCCATTGCTCGTGTTTCTTGGCCCAAGCAAGTCTCTTCTTCTTATTGGTGTCCTTTAGTAGTGGTTTCTTTGCAGCAATTCGACCATGAAGGCCTGATTCACGCAGTCTCCTCTGAACAGTTGAAGTTGAAATGTGTCTGTTACTTGAACTCTGAAGCATTTATTTGGGCTGCAATTTCTGAGGCTGGTAACTCTAATTAACTTATCCTCTGCAGCAGAGGTAACTCTGGGTCTTCCATTCCTGTGGTGGTCCTCATGAGAGCCAGTTTCATCATAGCGCTTGACGGTTTCAGCAATCGGCGGTCCCGTTCTGTGAGCTTGTGTGGCCTACCACTTCGTGGCTGAGCCATTGTTACCCCTAGACGTTTCCACTTCACAATAACAGCACTCACAGTTGACCGGGGCAGCTCTAGCAAGGCAGAAATTTGACGAACTGAGTTGTTCACGTTGAAAGTCACTGAGCTCTTCAGTAAGGCCATTCTACTGCCAATGTTTGTCTATGGGGATTGCATGGCTGTGTGCTTGATTTTATACACCTTTCAGCAACGGGTGTGGCTGAAATAGCCAAATCCACTAATTTGAAGGGGTGTCCACATACTTTTGTGTATATAAGGACCTTGAGCATTCCCTCCAGTGGTAATAGGTGGTGGGGTCTATATTAAAGGAAATGGCTAATCGCATCCTTTTAGTATGTCATACATTTGAATACATTTGAAGATTCCATTGATAATTTGGTAGCCTGGTTGCAAGTGTTTTTAGTGAAAAAGACTGGCAACCAGGCTAATAATTTGGTGTCTAAAAAAAGTTGCATTGGTGTTATGTGACCCGCATAGGCAGACGGCTATGTGTGTCTGAGTTATGGTGTTCCTTTATGTTGCTGTGGTACACTTTACCAGTACAGAGGTTTCACAGGGTCCAATCAAAGGAATGCCTGGAATGTTCCGGTGCCAGGGGTCCTTGTGGTTGGTGGAGCGGCGGGGTTGGGCAGGGGGCTGGGCACCGCAGTTTTAAAGACCATGCTTTCTGTTGTATTTTCAGTTATGATCGGCCTGTTGTCATTCCTGAGCTAAATCTCAGCTATTCTTGATCTCGCCCCCTTTTCCACAGGACCTGTTGAAACATTGCCACAGTGCAGATGCAATGTACCTCTTCCAGCAGGACAAATTCTATGACACGAGTCTGGACACGGGGGACAAGTCGATACAGTGTGGCCGTAAGGTTGACTGCCTGAAGCTGTGGTTGATGTGGAAAGCTGTAGGGTCAAAAGGCTTGCAAGAACGTGTGGACAGGGCTTTCGCCCATACAAGGTACAAACATAGACATTCACAAACTTACTGCTGTAAGTCTGACTGGTCAAGCTCCTTACTTAAAACACCTTAGAGCTGTCATTTTAAACATTTAATAAAATACGTTTCAAATGTTGTGGAACACTGATCTGTGTGTTGACCGTCCAACCATAGATATCTGGTGGAGGAGATTAAGAAAAGAGAGGGCTTTCAACTCATAGGGAAGGTGAGTCATTGTTTTAGCAAATACATACAAAACATTTTCTTCTCCCATTTTATTCTCACCTACAGTATGTCTTCCGCTTTTGTCCTGTTGAACAGCCGGAGTTTGTGAACGTGTGTTTCTGGTTCATACCACCCAGTCTGAGGGGTAAGGAGAACAGTCCAGACTACCACGACAGATTGTCAAAGGTTGGTGTGTGTGAAGTGCTTACTATGATGCCAGTATTATTTGTTTTACCTCAAGTGCTCCTACATTTAAACCAGTTAGTTTATGTGTGGCTGACACAATGCTGTGTGATCTTGTATCTTCATCAACAGGTGGCTCCAGTGATTAAGGAGCGTATGATGAAGCAGGGTACTATGATGTTGGGCTACCAGCCTCAGGGTGGACGAGTCAACTTCTTCCGCATGATAGTAATCTCACCGCAGCTCTCCCACCAAGATATGACCTTCTGTGTGAATGAGATTGAGAGGCTTGGGAATGATCTGTGATAGTAATTCTACCTAAATATAGTCTTGCATCTCCATTTATGTCATGGACTCTCAACATCAGATATCAGTCTGTTTTTCGTCAATATTACCTCTTCTTTTTTTTTATCAGTCTAATGCTCATTAGACTAGTCTAATGGTACTGATTGTGGACAAAGATGCCAAACAAAGTGTTTGAAATGTGGTATGTGGCACGGTAATAAACCTAGTCCAGTGACTTCTATATATATTGTATGGCCTACTTTATGTATTATTGGGTTGTAGAACATGATATAGGAGATTCTTCTAAGAAATGCCCGTGCCAGATGCTGACGGAAGCATGATCAGTGCCACGATGCGTCGGACGGACGGACGGACGGGCTGGCTGCAGCAGAACCCCATAGAGAAAGCGTCCCTATGTACACTGAACAAAAAATATAAGCGCTACAATTTTAACGATTTTACTGAATTACAGTTCATATAAGTCAATTGAAATGAATTCATTAGGCCCTAATTTATGGATTCCACATGACTGGGAACACATATGCATATGTTGGTCACAGATACCTTAACAAAAAGGTAGGGGAGTGGATCAGAAAACCAGTCAGTATCTGGTGTGAACACCAATTTGCCTCATGCAGTGCGACACATCTCCTTCACATAGTTGATTGTGGCCTGTGGATTGTTGTCCCACTCCTCTTAAATTGCTGTGCGAAGTTGCTGGATATTGGCGGGAGATGGAACACTGTCAAGCCTGAGCATCCCAAACATGCTTAATGGGTTTCATGTCTGGTGAGTATGCAACTGGGACATTTTCAGCTTCCAGGAATTGTGTACAGATCCTTGTGACATTGGGGCCGTGCATTATCATGCTGAAATATGAGGTGATGGTGGAGGATGAATTGTATGACAATGGGCCTTAGAATCTCGTCACGGTATCTCTGCATTCAAATTGCAATTGTTTGTCTGTAGCTTATGCCTGCCCATACCATACTGCCACCATGGGGCACTTTGTACACAACGTTGACATTAGTAAACCTCGCACACACGACTCCATTCAAGCTGTCTGCCATTTGCCCAGTACAGTTGAAACCAGGATTAATCCGTGAAGAGCACACTTCTCCAGCGTGCCAGTGGCCAAAGAAGGTGAGCATTTGCCCACTGACGTCGGTTACGAGGTGCAGTCAGGTCAAGACCCTGGTGAGGACGACGAGCACGCAGTTGAGCTTCCCTGAGACCGTTTCTGACAGTTCGTGCAGAAACTCTGGTTGTACAAAACCCAGTTTCATCAGCTGTCCGGGTGGCTGGTCTCAGACGATCCCGCAGGTGAAGAAGCCAGGGTGGAGGTGCTGGCGTGGTTACATGTGGTTGTGAGGCCGGTTGGCCGTACTGCCAAATTCTCTAAAATGACGTTGGAGGCAGCTTATGGAAATTCCTGCAGTCAGCATGCCAATTGCATGCAGCTGTGACATTGTTGTGTGACAAAACTGCACATTTTAGAGTGGCCTCTTGTCCCCATCACAAGGTGCACCTGTGTAATGATCACGCTGTTTAATCAACTTCTTGATATACCACTCCTGTCAGGTGGATGGATTATTTTGGCATAGGAGAAATGATCACTAACAGGGATGTAAACTAATTTGTGTAAAACAATTGAGAAATAAGCTTTTTGTGCGTCTGGAAAATTCCTGGGATATTTTATTTCAGCTCATGAAACATGGGACCAACACTTTACATGTTGCGGTTTATTTTTTTGTTCAGTATAGTTCCCATTATGGCATCTGTGAGCGCACAGGGAGCACCATTGAGGCAATCTCCAATTGGACAATGACCCGGTTGGACATGACTCCAACTGGGTCATCAGGAGGGATCAGCCAATGAAGTTGGAAGTCCCACCCAGCTGACTGCATTAAAATGGTGGAAGTCCTCAATGGCGCTGCCAATGCTAATATAGGCTTTTTGCCGCTAGAGGCCTCTATCATTCTCTATGAATCTCTCCTGCACGGCAATAAAGTGAACTTTCGTGACCCAACGTTCCTGGATTAAAGATGGCCTTGTCTGAGAAGGGTGAATGTTTATTAAATCTGTCTGCATGTGTTCATTTTTTTAGCAGTTGTACGTGTGTGTGTACAGCGGGTAGGGAGGTAAGGCTTTGCAGCTGACATGGGTGTGATGCACAAACATTGCTGGGGTTAAGTCCATGAAAAAGTGTTCTTCCTGGTGTCAAACCCACCATGCATGTTGACTGAGCAGGGGTAGAATGGCCATATGGCATTTTGGGAAAATGCCAGATGGGCTGGTCTAACTTGTTTTTTTGCGCCAAATGATAATTATCTGGCTAATAATGGGGGCCTCAAGGAAAATAACAGGCCAGTCTGGGGGCCTCAAGGAAAAGAATGGGCCGGTGTGTTAGAAATTCCAGGGCTGATTTCTGGTCCCAGTCTGCCCCTGTGACTGAGGTTGCCTGAGGTCACTGCACCCTGATGGCTGCATTAGCATTTGGGGTCAAAGAGAAGGGCCATGCCTAAATCTCTCAAAGGGACACAGTTTGTCTTCCTGTGGTAACATGAAACAATTTGGGGAAACGCAGCAAGTTAGGCTAGCCATGGGAGTTTGCAAATAGCTGGTTTACAAAAAATCTTAGTAATGACTTCCTTAAAATGGTAAGCAATTCTCCAAGGAAGCTTGATCAGTTGGCCTAGATGAGCCAAGTAAAAGGTAGTCAATGTGTTAGTTAGCTACAGTACAACTCAGAGGAGGAAGGGGAGGACCATCCTCAGTGAATAAAAAAAGTAGTAGTGAAACATTAAAAGTTATCCTTTTTAGATAAAACTATACGAAATATATTCACATCACCAAATAATTGATTAAAACACACTGTTTTGCAATGGACTACAGTAGCCTCAACAGCACTGTGTAGGGTAGCACCATGGTGTAGCCAGAGAACAGCTAGTTTCCATCCTCCTCTGGGTACACTGACTTCAATACAATGGCAATTTTAGCATGTAAATCTTGTTAGGGCAAACTCCCCCAAAATTGTTTAGATGCATGCCAACAAAGCCACTACACAACACTAAACAATACATTAATTGCACTATAACGGTGACAAACTTTGCCCACACACTGTTAGGGGCTACATAAAGCTGTCCAAACAGCAGAGTCCCAACAGCAGCCCCAACACTTTACCACTGCTACACCTGGCTATCAGCGGAGCCTTGTCTGGCAGCGAAACAGTTCATTCAGCCTAATTTATTGCCTTTAAAAAAAACATGGCTGATATGTCTGACTACTGACAATTGAGATGTACAAACTATGGCATAAGGGGACGACGAGCGGTTAAGAGGCATTCAGTCATTTCGATTAAGACATTAATGAGCGAGCTAGGACGGACGAAGTCAACAACTATTTGTTCAGCACTTTTTAAATGTACAGCGACAGAATTCAGAACATGAGCCGTTCTTACAGTATTCTCCCTGTCACCAAGTCAGAGACGTAGGATAAATAAAGGGGGCATATAAGCAAACAATAAAAGCTCTTACAATATTCGATGATTACTTTTGTCTAAAACAGGCTATAGGCTACATGTGCACTACCAAGTCAGAACAGTTAGGCTAAGTTATGATGGGAAAAGGGACCAAATTATTAGGGTGAGGCACATGGGCTACTAACAGCTTACTACACAACATACACTTAGTATTACTTTCTTAGCTACAGTATACATATCTCCCTGGCATATTACATCATTTATGCAGCAGTATACAATAAATGTTTTGACTCACCTTGTTGTGTTGTGCTCACTTGAACAGGAAGCTGGTGCGGCGGTCCTTCGTGGGCAAATTTTGTCATCAAAGTCTGTAATTCTCTGGATTTATGGTGTTTTTAAGACAACTAGGAACTCTTAAAAAACAATGTAGAATCATGATGTCAGTGATCTTCAGGTCAGTGCGCTAGAAAGAGGCCCGAGTTCCCGACTTGGAATACTGAGTTGGATGACCGTTCAAAACGTATTTTCCCAGTCAGTGCTATTTTCTTTCCCAGAGTTCCCAGTTGTCTTGAACTCACTGAAGTCTGAGATTTCCCAGTTCTGAGTTTCCAGTTATTTTGAACGCGGCAGAAGTCATGCTGGATTGACAGCTTGGTCAATGTTGAATGTTTATCCTTTCAAGCTTGGAAAAGAGACCCTTAAACCCAGACTTGGACCACACACCAACTCCACTGAATAGCAGGCTAGTGAATGCTTTGCAATGCTTGCAGTTAGCCACTGATTCCTTCCAAACCACTCATTGTTGAATTTGCGATTTCCAACTTGTTGTGTAATGTTTATGTCCAATGGCCGATGAGCACGGGTACGTTTTATCTATAATTTCTCTATTATAATTTATCTTTATATGACAAGGATTGAAAATGATTTTCCAGTAGATGACTGCTAGCTTGCTAGCTAAGATTTTGAAAGTATGATGTTGACATGATCAGTCCAATCAAAGCTACGGTAGATATAACGTGATTTGACATTTTATCTGTGGCCAATGACCTTGAGCCTTCTTGGAAGGGCACTTCTAATGTAACTCTATGGCAGCACCCAAGGGGCTTGAATTTTCAAGGTCTACCCGTATATTTTGCGGTGACAGTGTCCCCATGAGTGAGAGAACACTGAGCCAATCACGGCGCAACTAGAGAACATTACCAAACCCTACGCGCCGTATTTTCCGCTGGCTGCCCCACCACCACAGAAAGTAATGAGCTAGGCTGAAACACCTGCATTTTGGAGCTGCCTTACTCAAGAAAGCAAAAAACAGACCATGTTTGTATGCAGCTTTATTAACTAAAAGATTTTTTTTTCAACATTGTTTGCTAACTGACATGTGACACTGATAGCTAAACAGGTGGGGCTCAAAACAGGTGCTCTGCCCCACCTGCCCTGAATGACGGGTCGCCACTGCTTCAATACAAAACCTAGGAGGCTCGTGGTTCTCACCCCCTTCCATAGACTTACACAGTAATAATGACAACTTCCGGAGGACGTC